GTTATACCTAGTTGGATGTTATCCGTCTAACTTCACCCAACAAACACACAATAATTTGTGGCCTAACCTAACTAATATTATAAATGCGAATGTTTGGTTGCATGGATGGATGGATGTTTGTTTGATCTCCAGAACGGCTGCATGGATCTCGCTGAAAGGCATTGATGTAGAACATAGTCTGGAAGAACACATAGGCTACTAAGTTTTTTTTAATTCCGTGCGGACGGACTCGCGGGCGATAGCTAACATCATAAAATATTTTTAACATTAGCCACATTACATAACTTCTGTAATATTGTTACTTATTTACGTTAAATAAGTAACCACATTGTTTTATTTACTTAAAGAGTAAATCAAATACATAAGGACAGCCTGTGAAGGCAGTAAACACGAAACAAAGGGGCCGCCTACATGTTTAATTCGATATTTAAAGGTGCTTGCCTGCCCGAGGCACCTGACAGCGCTCATGCATATTCATATTGTGTGATTAATCACGCTCCAGCGTACCCCTGCCTCGAACCTCGATACCTACAAGATACACATACATACAGTCAACCTTTGTTAACTATTTATATTGCCATAAACGAATATTATTTTAAATTTTAATTTTTTTTGTAAATTTTGATTTTTTTTGTATAAACGTTACTGAATTACATAGTAACTTTACTCCAGAGAATTATATTGAATAAAATAGGTTTAGAGTTCATTTAATTTTTACAACATACATATTTATGATGTAAAATTAGGTTAGGTTTATGATGTAAAATTTTGGGTGAAATATAATTATAATCAATAATCTCTTATTTCTCAGTTTCTATTAACACCAATCCATGATGATGAAACTGTCTAACAAAACAAATACATAATATGCATATAGAAAAACGTACCCACATACATAAATACTACATAAATCCATAAATAAAAAATAGGGAGTTCTTAGATAAATTATTCTTATAAAAATAATAAATTGGAAGTTTTAATTTTATACGCCCAAAGTCTACATTATGGCAACACTACCAACAAAGCGAACAACGTTATGAAAATAAATATGTATGTATGGAGATTATTAGTAATAACATGCTAAATTTCTCCTGATTAAGATGTGCGTAAAATTTTAAATGTCAAATTTTTTAAAAGGTTTCTTTTTGTGTTAATTCCTATTAACAGATATTGTAGAAAACGAAACGCGTTTATTCGATAATTAATCAATGGAAAAACTTATTATTTTTATTTTAAATTGTTTTTCTACAATGCATGTATAGATTAAAATTAAATTTAATTCACTCATTCTAAAATTCACAAGCCAAAAAAATAAACTACTTTCACACCACAAATATCAATGTGATTTATTAATCTATTTTAATAAACGCAAAGCATACGCCGCGCGTGCCCACAATTTTTTACATTCCTTTCATAAAAAGTAGTTTACAATGTCATCTCTAAATCCGTCCATCGAATATAAAAAAAATATTAGCATACGGAATCCATATTGAAGTCGTTTCCTTTCTTGTAAGCCTACATCTGTCGGTGGGCGGATGAAACGCGAGATGCATTTGACTTTTATGCTAATTTTCCACGCGCTTTCGCGACTATTAGTAATGTTATTGCAATTTGGTTAATATGATTACACCCTTTAATACATAGTAATGAGTAAATTAATAACATTTAGTTTAAAATAAAAGTGTAATTTTGTGTGAAATTATGTTTATAAAAAGTTTCTCGAATGTTGATTACGTTGGAAATTCAAATCAAAAATGTAATTATTGGTTTGAAGTCACAAAAGAGATGAGTAGTTTTAGACATTATTAATTAAAATCCTTTGGCGCGAATGACGTGCTTTCGCTACAAAGTCCAGTGTCATAATAATTCGTGAGGGGACACAAACGTCGACATTTTAATAAGGCTAGTGTTGGGTCAATATTAGCACATTTTCTTCTTTCACAAATCTTCTTCCTAACAGAAGCAAACATCAACCAAGTACGTAATGTTTATTTAACTTTTTTTATCTAGTTGTTGCTTAGCAGCATATGTCTACTGATTACCCATCGCCGTCAATCATAAGTAACATGTTGCCATGTGAAAAATTAAGTGAATTCCGTGGAGTGACAAATTACGCGGGTCAGGGGAGCAAGGGGGAGGGGGGAGGCGCGTGCCGCGGTCTCGCGGGACCGCTGACGGATTGCGGGCCGATTGCCAGTGACGCTGACGCCCCGATATTCCCCCCTATCGTCAGCAGACGCTTGACGCTGTGATGTCGACTGCCCGATGACAGTGATGTGACTCCTGACATATAGTGGAAATATTATCTTAAAATTCATATTCCGTGAATAATAAAATGATCCAAATTGATGCAGGAATTGGAAAACTAAAAAAAAATGTCAAATGATCTTACCACTACATGCTTTTAGCTTGGGTAATCAAATGTGATTAGGTTGAACTGGTTTGTATTTAGAAAACTATTGCTCATATTATTTAAAAACATAACAGTTGGTTCTTAAAACCTTATAACCCCTTTAAACAACTTATATCTAAGCTACAACTATGTAATCCAGCAAAAGCACACACAAAAAGCGTATGCGTATACAAAAACAAACATTTTTCATCTATTAAAAGTGCAAACAGAATGTTTGTACATTTTTTTTCATTTACTCGTAACCGTTGGGGCGCAAAAAGGTAAGTGATCGCGGCATATTTTTCAGTGTGAGCAAACACACTCTCCATTCATCGGCACAATGAAAATATTGGCCATTTATCTTTCCGTTTTTCCGGCGGACCTGTCGCGGCGGGCCTGTCGCCGCCGGACCTGTCGCCGGCGGGCCTGTCGTGCCCGCACATCGTCTGCTGTATGCATTGTCCGTGTGCAATGTCAATGGAATTCATTTATCGCGTTCGCTGATATGTGAAATCACTATTTCGTTTTGATGCCCGTTGATCCTTTCCAATTTTATTGTTTTTGCAGTGCAATGGGTAGGTAAATGTATTTTTCCCTCGCTTCGTGTCACGAATGGCGTATTGTCGCATTATGGAGACAGCAATCGTAGTGTTTATTGTTTTTCAGTAAATAATACGTTCATAAGAAAATATACAATATGCAATAATATGGTAAATTAAACGCCATTTATGAAGAGGTTGCAATTCCTAATCCTTTATTACCACCTATTTACCTGCTTGGCTTTTCTTAAATAATGTTTACAAATTAATCAAAACCACTTAACGATAAAAATCATAGTTTCGTGATAAATATTTTTCTTAAATAAGTAAATACGCATTTTTTGAATTATTAACACCTAGGTATCTGTTTATTCCAATAGATAGATACATAAATGGAACTTCTTTAATAACATTTCAATTGTAGCTTTGTAAGATTGTCGAGGTCGTAAAAATTCTATTTAAAGATTTCAAGTAAAAGTATTTTATCACAATTTAAAAAATCAGTGTAAAAATTAGTAACGCCATCTATTATCGGATAGCAAAAGCATTTACTTTTCATCGGTAGATGTCGCTTTTAAATGTTTTTTTCGTTTACGTCACCACTTGGATTTTAGTTATAAAAATTATATTTAAATTACAATGCCTTGAAATTTTTTGGTACGTAAATAATTCAATAAAACAATTAGAAATATAAATAAAAATAATTCATTGTATCAAAAATATTTATTACCTCCACATTAGACCCCGACAATAACCCATAAACATAAAATACAAAAATAACAAAAATACAAGTAAAAAAAAATAGAAATCACAGACATCAGTTAAATACTAAAGAGTAAATATGATTAGGAACAGAAGGAATGTTTTACTGAGCATAATATTAAAAACCTAATATAATGCAGAACATTTCTAATATTTATTTCATTTACTTTGAAAATGACAAAATGTGAATATTGACACATTTGTCATAGATTTTCTAACAGATCTTTTATGAAAACTGGTTAGGTTACCCGCCTTGTTTAATTGAGCAATTTTATTCAGCAATAATATTTCTTATATATTCATCAGACATTTACACACACAAATCAATAGACAGGACATTACGAACCTAACCATACGCTCATAAAGTCATTCATTTTCCAAGCAGTTGCTCCTTGGTGTGCCAACTGGACACAGATTGTTTCGCAAGTGTCGCGTTGAAGGGGGAGACTATAAGGAGATTCTCAAAAACTCTACGGCTGGTAGAATTTTAGTTGTCAAGTTTGACATTTGTGACAGATGACGGTACTGACGATTAAAGCAAATCCGGACAAAGCCATGTACCATTGCTTTGTCCGGCTTTCATTTATCTGGTGCGTCTGACGCTGGCCAGACGCGTACCTGTTAACACAAATATTTATAGGAAACTGCGAGGCTAAACAGAGTGCATTTCTTCATTCGAAGCGATTCTATAGCGAACTTCAAAAATGTATAGAATTGACACGCGACATTCACGTGACTTATCGAAAGTTATTGTCAGTTTTATATATTTTTGAAGTTAGCTATGGAAGCTTCGGAGCGAATGCATTTTTAGCTGCTCTTGTAATGTCCGTTCTAAAAATATTATTATATTTAAATCTCTTGTAAATGGTATGGTGAATACATGTAAACAATTGTCATGTAAATTATTCGTATGTTGTCATGTTCACGCTAATATTTTGTATACACATGTCTTTTAAAATTTCACTAATTTACCTATGGTTTCTGAGAACAATCTCTGTATAAACCTTATCGTCATCCCTGTCATTATCTTTGACTTTAACAGAGGTAATAAGTTTTAAACGGATATTTAGGTCTCAGAAACCTACGATTAATAAAATAATACGCTTTAGAGATATATAAATACTTTGTCTTTTTACCATAGTATTAATATAAGGCCATTTTTTGGACATTTCATTTTCAAATATTATATCACAAATAGCAATGACAATTAAAAATATTTATAACATAAAATTTATATTCGTAAAATAATATCCTTAATTTATTTGCATTGTTTGATATTTTGAGCAGATCATTATAATAAGTTTAAAAACAATATTCAGTTCAGATATAAAAAGAATTATCTTCAACGCTTCTGATATTAATATATCTTTAAAATTGATTTCCAGCTTTCTTAGAACTTAAAACCCATTTCCACTAACCTACTAGCGGAGTTACTTCAGTCTTTGCCAGCAGAATGAAATTTGTATGGCATTATGACAACTCCAGTAAATGTAAACACAATCACTCCTAGAAATGGTTAGTGGAAAAGGGGTCTAAAATTACTACTTCATATTTTATATAACAAGTTCACCAATTAATGGGGCATACCAAGCACCATTGGTATAAAAATCCAAAAGGACTAAGGCACTCAGATTGGCCAATGACACCTGGTCTTCAATTGATTCCTAACAAATATTAAACAGTTGTTAGAAAATCCGCATGGTGTTAGCGCATCCGTGGTTCATCCTATACTGGACGTAAATCATAGCCGAATTGTGCCAGTAGTACAATGCACCTAGTACTAAAACATGCCACCATTGGTGTGAATGGCCGATGTAGTCTACCTTACCAGGGAACCACCGCTCTGGGACCTGTCAAACAAAATATTAATTATTTTCTCTTAAAGAACTGTACATTTGACTATCACATTTTTCTAATATAAAGCCATCTCCCTCATTCTCTCTGGAAAATCTGAGAGAGAAATCATAATGATAGCTTACCTTAAAGGCGTAAATTGCAAAAGCAGTGCCACTGATAACATACATTCCGATCACTCTTGGGAAGAACATCTGAAAGTAAAACAATAAAATATTTACGAGACATCAACATAATTACCCAAAAGAACCTTACGAAAATGAACTCCCTATTGTTTATTTTTTTTTAAGTCGTATGTCATTACTTAATCTTTGAAACATTCTCAAAGAGTTTATTAGCCTTCTAATCGATATTTAATCTTTGACCAAACTTCACCCACCATTGCCAACATTTTAAAATGACACAACTTTAAATCAACTCTAAAAGCAATGGTACAAGGCTGACAATACAATAACAAAAAGTACGTAACAAAGGTATTTAACTATAAACCAGCTAACCTGAACCATTGGATTATCGAATCCCCCCATAACGTAGGTCCAGTGTAAAGTGGGCAGGACGCCATACGCCGCCCAGCCGATGAAGACGCACATCTTGACCGCATAGGGCACGTTGAATCGCGGAATTTGCAGCGCCATCGCCACACCAAATATCACAGTTACTGTCAGCATGTAGAATGTTTTTAACTCCTGGAAACAATAAAAAACGAATAAAGTTTATTTATAAATTACAACAGACATACAGATTACGGATTTCCTTTGAGGCACGGTCTTGACAAACGTCTCCTGTCTCTTTCACATGCATGTGTGAAAGAGACAGGAGATGTGTGGTTCGCGTGATGTTACTCCAGACCTTATTTAGTATGTATTTATGTTTACTAAGCATTAAAAATATTATAAATTTTAGACGTTCAAATTATGTCTTGTTTGTCAATTTTTTAAGATACGTAAAGTTGACAAGTCATTCAACTAATTTTTCGGTAACATAGTCAAATGTAATCGTATTAAACATGCGTGCGTCATTACACTATAAATTACTAAAAAAAAACTTTAATTTATTTCACTAGCTTAGATTCTTCGTGACCAATCCAATAAAATAATGAAGGTCCATAAATCTCGGAGACACGGTGACGTCAATTATATTTTTACATCGTCGTGCTACACTTTATTTTCGAAAAAATTGTATCCAACCTTTTACTCAGAGAACATTGTAACATTCAAGCAAGAAACATATCAGTAACGACTCCTCTGTTTGAAGATTTTTTTCGAAAATCTATCAGTTGCGAAATGAGAGAAAAGGATAGTATGAAGGTGTGAAATATTTAAATATTCTCGTAGCATTTTAACTTCTCCAACATATATAGGATGTATTGCGAAGTACTATAATTGACCTTGCCCTAATACCAGGTCAAGTTGAGGCACGTGGCATTGCGGGGACGATGCGGAATGCAAATCAATACGCTGGCAACACTTTGGAAGCTTCCAGAAGGTCATTATGTCACGCATACTGATATATTGCTAAAGGATCGTACATCAGAATTTCTAATTGTCATTGATTTGAAGTCGAAATAAAAAAATCGAACGTTTACTAACAAACGGTTACAACATTCTAGCTCTAGGAGGTCACAATTATTCCCGCCAAAAACAATGATAAGGGATCGTACCCATACTACGTGACCCGTTTAGGGGGGGAGGGATCGGAGTCTTTAAAATACTACGGTCAGTCACAGGAGCGGGGGGGGGCTCAGATTTTTGTCATAATACATAATTCACTAGTAATTTAAGTATGCATGCAGTCTTATGCTATAAAGAAGAGTATGAGCCAAATTATTTTTCTTTTTCTATTTTTGCCTGTGAAATGATTAAAAATCATAATTATGAATTAAACGTAAAAACTAAAGAGGGAGGGGTCCTGGCATGTGTAGTGGTCACCGAGGGGAGTGAGGGGTCGAATGAACTAAAAAAAAGGTCACGTAGTATGGGTATGTTCCCTAAGTTTTGCTATAAAAAAAACTAACGTAATCTAAATTAATGCTATAGATGCAAACTAGAGAAACAATACAAAATAAGATGTTATCGAACGCAGTAGAGTGAAATAATTGTAATCATAATAACACTTTCACCTCCAACACAAAATAATCTTTTGCTACTTTCCAATTACAACAAATCAATTTAAAACTCGGAAGAGATCATATGAATAAGATTGTAGGTCAAATAGAAAGTGTGTTTTCGCACCAATCATATCACGTTCATAACAAAATGTATTCTTAAATTTTTTAAATACCAAAAATATTATAAAAATAAACAACAAACTAATTTTCAACATAACCTTGTCCATAATTATTTATGATACAATCATGATTAGATATGATTTTAAATATATCACTATTTTTTCATATTTATGAAGGACAACTCCACAACAATCAAATATGAAGGACAACGCACAAAATCTTGATTAGAATATTTTCGTCTTTTATGTTAAACAATGTATCAAATAATTAGGGATAACCATATAACTTTAAATTTTAAAATGTCAAAAACTTGATTTGGATATTTTAACTTTATCAATGAATAATCATCATCATCATCAGCTTATTATACGTCCCCACCGAGAGGCTCAGAGCCTACCCTAAGTTAACGGTGATTAGGCCATAGTCAACCACTCTGGCCAAGTGCGGATTGGTTGACTTCACACATATCTTTGAATTTCTGAACGTTTCTGAACGTCGGATAAATGTACATATGTAAATCGGATATCGAAAAATACATTGGTTCATGGCGGGATTCGAACACAGGACCTGCAGATTGTAAGTCAAGTGCTTAACCCCTGAGCCACGGACGCTCAAATCAATGAATCCGAACATCATAAATTAAAAAAAAAATTATTCCAACAGACAAAATAACCACTTCTATTGTGACATTTACCTATTAATTTCAGAAATTTAAAAACAATGCGTTAGTATATTTAGCATCCATTTTCATAAGAAATTTTTGATGTACACTTGAACAATATTTATTCAAATATTCACGCGAATTGGTAATTAATACGTAAATACAGGTTCAGACAAGTTAGGAACGACCGTGGAATAAACTTGATGCCATTATAATATTTACAAGGCAAATTAATTCTTATTGTTTTGAGCATAAAGTTCATTATTAAAAAACTTCTTTTAGTTATTAAAAAAAAACAACAATATTAATTATTACTTTATATAAGGTCGGTTACATTTTTGTCAATTACCGTGAGTTGCTGGTTACACAATCCATATTAAAACATATTTTTATCTCTGTTTAGTCAAAGATAATGAGAGAGATGACGATATATTTTATACAGAGATTTTCGTCTCTGAAACCAACGGTTAAAGCACTCACGGTAAACAAAGGACCAGAGACAAATATTCTATATTTTTTCCTTAGTAAAATTTGTTGAAAAATATACTTACGTGGTGACACCAAAATGCGTAGTATACGCCGGATGTGTAAATAGCAAGCAATGAGAGCGCTATGCCGAATAGGTCATACATGAGGAACGTGTTGTAATCAGACTCGGAGCGGCACGAGAAAGTGTGGTACAGAGCGGACAGCGCCATGCAAACCTGAAATTATATATAAATCATGTACGGAATTTTATATAAGTAATTTCTTGGGGATTTAATTTAGTCTGGATGTGATCTACTGTAGTTTTTGATTCGATTCTTTCTCTGTGACATGAGTAAGACTCTCAAAAGATATATGAAATGCTCTTTCTTTGCTGTGCATATTATTTGATATCATCGTCTTTAAGCACAGTGAATTTAGTTATAAATTAAAGTTAAACGAATTCTAAGTATTAGTGTATATTAGAGATAGAAGTAGGAAATCAACCAAAATCTACAAAACGACTTATTTGGTGAATTTTTTTCTTACTTGACCATCTACTTAAGCCATTTAATACAATTTTCAAGGCATATTCGCAGCTTCTAGTCAAAGACCTTGAGTATATAATAAATTACGGTATTTTTTATTTCTCAAACTAAAACTGTTGGACGATAAACATCAAATTTGAAGTAACACGGAACAGGTAAAAAATCGACTTGTTAATTTTTTACACAAAACTTTAGGTCAATCACATCAGAGCCACATTAAATTATTCTTTGCTTGCGTCAATGAATAGCATCCCATATGTTATAATAATAATAAACCATAAACTATATTTAACAGTTTAAAAAGATATAATACAGATGAAAAAAATCTTTGTCAAACAAAGATTAATAATGTTTATTTTTTCTTCAAATCTTAACTTATTATATTTTTTTAATCATCTTGATAAAGTAGCGTTAACCGGTCAATAAACACAGTTATAACAGTAAGGTAGTATTTGGCCGTTATCTGACTTCAATAGTTGCGTAGAGTATGTCCTAAAAATCTTTTACAAAACTACGCTAAAACGGTTTTATTCCGTACGTTAAACCATTGATGGAAAAACATGGTCATAATTACTTTAATTGCTACTCGAGGTTACAATATAGGTAAGTTATATTGTTTCCTTCAGTTTTTGTTACTGGCATTTATTTAAAAGATTAAATTAAAAAACAAAAACGAGATTAATATTCCTATAATTACTGGCTGTAAGTTGAATTCCATTGCCATTAAAAGCAAACTTATATGACTTACTTTTACTACACGTAGTAAAGGCTATTGGTAATAAAATTCTATGTAATTAGTGTCCACCACAACTTGAACAAAACACTTACAAAGTTGTACAATGGAAACATACACAACTTTCCTATAGCTTCTTTTTTGCTGATTCGTGACTGTACATTTATTACAAGTGTTTATAGCTTGAGATTGACAACGGATACTAACTTTCATCACTCGCCACATCTATAGCTTTCACTCATCACAGACACGCAAATACAATATACCTACACACTATAAATGCAGAGCTTCGACAATTATAAGATTTTTTAAATGCGAATGTTTAGATGGATGGATGTTTGTTTCAAGGTATCTCTGGAACGACTCAATGGATCTTGCTGAAATTTGGCATAAATGTATATCATAGTCTAGAAGAACACAAAGGCTACTCATTTTTATTTTTTTAATTCCACGCGGAAGGAATCGCAGGTGACAAATTGTTTACTATAAAAATGCAAAAGCAAACAAACTAAACTACACTTTTAATCAAATTAATTTAATTTTAATTTATCAAGAGTAGTAATAAAACATTACAAAAAATAATTGTTACTTAATAACATTTGTCACCGTTATTATACTTTTGTACGCAATTAAATTGTAATTTTATACTGGATCGTGGTTCAAGCCAGCAATTGATGCAATAGTATCAAGATACCCGACGTTAATTAAGGTGGTTAGTACCAGAGCGTTTACTTTGGATTCATTCATACTTTTAAAAGCACAGCATCTTAAGTCTTGATTTGATATAAACTGTATAAGGCTCGTAGGTTATTTACTATTGTCTATGGATCTATTCAGCTCAGAAAGTGGAATCGGATGAGAAAAGTAAGAAGTGGTTTTTAATCTTACGGTTAGTACAAAAATCAAGGTCAAACTATCTAGCAAATGACTATAAGAATGAAAGTTTCAAGTCCTAAATACCTTTAGTCTTAAGTAAATAAAACTGTTTTGACATTTGCGAAGATTGGCAATAAGTTTTTGTCGTTTTTTCAACGCGTAACTTTCACTAAATCATCTGAGGAACGGGCGGGTCATCTGCGCATGCGCAGTGGGCACTTTCGTTACTTCCACCAATGAGGCTGCACGTACATTTCGTAATGCATCTCAAGGAAATAATGACACTTCGTGCCGAAGTCGAGACGGAGAAATCATTACCGTACATAGCTCGAGCATGCTAAGATATTGCGTATATGTAGGAATGTTAGCCTACATTATTTATTTTATTACATAAGTACATAGCCTAAGTAATTATAGTATTAAGAACAGCGAAGAATGGTCAAAAATACATATCTATGTTATATTCTATACTTCACATAAAATCAATTATTGAACCTCGTTAGAATTATGAAATTAACTTGAGATTAGATTAAGGGACATAACATGTTAGTAAACATTACATAAGGCACTACTTGAAGGCAAACAACTAATCAACCGGAAGGAATAACCGGAAGATAAAACCGGAAACTATATGACCGCAAAACATAAATTTAAATATCATTATATAACCAGTATGTGCATCTTCAATATTAAATTCATAACCTTGGTATGCGATACAATTAGTTACATTTTATAAAATTCGTTGTTTCAGTCGAAAATAATTTAAAACACCAATATTTTAATTTGTAAATCGTTAATATTTATATACTCCCGCGACTCTGTCCGCGCTGAATTAAAAAAAAAAACATAATTAGTAGCCTATAGGTTCTTCCAGGCTATGTTTTTTATAAATGCTAAATTTCATCGAGATCCGTTCAGCCGTTCTGGACATACCTTCAAACAAACATACATCAACCCATCTAAACTTTCGCATTTATAATATTAATAAGAAGTAAGATTTATATTTTTTAATTTTATTTTTCTTGGCCAGATATTTGAAAATCGACGTGACATCAAAATTATTACACTCCGTTAACACCCTAATGAAACATATGCAAGTGTGTGATACTTACCAAAAAACAGGAGAACAAAATCGCTGCAACTGTCTTGTCGGTTAGGGTGGCATGAATATTTATGATGACAAGGTCGTTGATTGTTAGGAAGAGCAGGAGAAAGAAACCAAAGATATGTGTCCATATGTTCATGGTTTCATTCGTCCACCAGAATATGCTAAAACAAATTTCTTTATTAATACGTATTAAGATTACGATAGGGTTGTTTAACACACTCCATGCGTACGTAAGTGAATTCATGCGAGTAAATAGCAATTAAAGTGTTAAGTTCTAAAAAATGTTTTTGCATTATTAATGACGTCACGTAAAGGAGTGGATACATTGAAAAATTTCAACAAAAACAAAACGTATGAAATTCACGAGCGTGATTGAGTATTTTAATGGTTTATATGCCCAATAATTACATATCAATACTTTTTTAGTCTTATCGCTAAAGAAAAAATTACATAACTCTGAAATTATCGTTTACCCAATATACCTTAAATGTGGAATTAATTATATGTCTGCGCTACTTAAGGTTAAATATAATTTATACTCAAATTGGAATATTTTCTTGTGACCCTCTTCAAGGCCCAGTCTGCGATTCACGGAACTACGAGTCGACTTAAATTTACATGTACATATTTTCAATAGTTAATTAACCCTTATTGTGGCAAGATTTCTTTTTTGAAGAAAAGCAAAAAATACCCAAAACCAAAAATAAGTTTAATAAAACTTAGTTAAAAATTATTTTATAGTGATCGTATATTTTTATAGAGTTGTATGTATGGTATACTATACAAAATGAACATAAGGGTTAATAATAAATTGAAAAAACAAAACCCGATTAACAATGATAACCATGAAAGAATAAGAATCAAATAAAATCTCACTCTTGAAAATCATCCATGCTGTTTACGCAAGAGAACACAATGGAACAGACATACATTCAACCCATACAAACATTTTCGCGAAAAACGAAATTAAACAACCACAAACATCCCTGTTGCAACCGAACGGCAAACACAGGCATGACCATAAAAACTAAGATTGTGTTTCAACTACATTTTAGAACATATGATAATGTCAACCTTTTTATCGCACGCCGATATTTTACCAGAATATCAATCATGGCTGTCAAAGGGTTAAAACCCGCGTTTAACTAAACTGTGTCGTAACTGGATTTTTAGAGTAATAAAGTAATTGTTCTTAGATGTTTGTATTAACAAATAAAGTATGAAAATACATTATAATAACACAAAATAAAAACACAAGAATAACTTGCTGTATTCAAGAACAAATAAATGGATTTAACCTTAAGAAAGCTACGTTGTTTACGGAAATGCGACTATACGTAATATTATAGACGCGTTAAATTAATATCTAGGTCATAATAGCTTATTTTTATTAAAGTCATTAATATGTTATAAAAAGGATATGGCATTACTTGAAAATTTTAACTTTTTTTAGCAAATTTATGTGCAATTTTTTCTTAATATAGCAACAAAATAATATACTAATAGCTACGGAACTAATAGGAACTGGATCCCATGTAAACATGTTTAAACTTCGGTCAAAATGATTGTAAATCAATTATAAACTCAATGAATTTCACAATATCATTATTTGCAGCAATGTTACACTCCAATTGGAATGGTTTACAATCACTTACAACACAATAATCTATATTCATCTGTAACAGTTTTGTTAGTGAATGTACTTTTATTGATAGATAAACAAGAACAATGTATTGAACTACTATATAAATGTAAAGTTTTTTTTTTTATAATTTAATCTTCTTAATAAAATATTTTTTTTCACAAACCATATATGTAATACATTTATATTTAAAAAAAATGGTAAAATAAATTGTTATAACTATTTATTTTGAAATTAATAAAAGACTTACCTCTCCCAGCATAATTTAGTAGGTAGTAACTTCCGATATCCATCTCTGATAAAAGGGTTGTGCTGCAAATATACTGGAGCTTCTTCATATTTTAAGAGCTGTCTGTAGTTTATATACAAAATATCTTCCTTAGTTATATTGTTATTGTCTTCTAGTCTTTTCCCTCTACGAAGTAGCGTGGTGCTGCTGCAGTAGTCTTTTTCCATTATGCATTCTTCTTCCACCTTACAAAAGTAAACAGGACTATGTGGTATATTTGAATAGGCACTGTACATAACAATTTGCAAATACAAAACTGAAATATTCTCACTATACACAAAGTGGAACTACATACAAACCTTTCTACTAGTATAATATTTTCTCTCATAAAGAGCAACAAAATTATGTGACAGAACCTTTGTTAATGAAAATGTGTCAAAATCATTAGTTATTAATAAAGGTTTTAATGTGAAATATATTTAAACATATTTCATAAAATTTGGTCATTTTACCCATAAAATCAATTTACGATCAACACCTCATACTGGTTAATACAATGTTACAATTTTCTAGCTTGTGTAATTAGTTAAAAATAATTAAAACAGATATAATATATTTTTTTTTAATTTATGTCATAAACTGGTCTCAAAATCTCTTGAAAATAGGCATTAGGCAATAAAATAATACTTACTTTCTCAATTGGCATAAACTGGAGAGTTTCTGCATGGCATTCACTTACTTTTCTTGTCATCGTTATAGTCATGGTGTAAGTATATTAGTTGTGTAGATTCAAGAATGTTGTATGAAATGCTAACTTTATAAATAATTTATTCACAATTCAATTCCTAACAGTTCGACTTCAATTGATACTGCGTTTATTTATAATTTATCACTACCTAGTATCAACAATAATAAATTAATTAATAGTAATATAACCGAAAAAACACTGCGGCACACACACCCTACACATTTGGGACTAAATTAAAGACTAAAAGGTTTTGTTTAGTTTGGTTTTTGTTGGCAATGATATTTGGTCATCAACTCAAACTCAATGTGAATCTGTCAAGTCAACTGTCAATGTCAACTACACGAATGACGTGTGATTTTTTTTTAATTTTATGACCTGGTAACATAGACCTTTAGTTCACATCTTATTTAATGTCGTGTGATGACTGTCAAGTGTCAAAGAGTAAAAGGCTTGTTTGGTATCTTTTCAAAACGATTATAGTATTTTAATAACCTTATTAGCGCTCATTTGCGATAATTTATTAAACTTAAAAATAAATTGACTGTATAAAGAATTAAGAGAATTTGAAGTTCCTACCTATTCTAACCCCAAAGTATTACTATTCTACGAAGTATGAAAAAATACTATCTTTTACAACTTTCCAAAGTAGCTTATAACAATCTTCTTATATGATAGAGGCAAGTATTATAGTTTTTAGATATCTTGGCGACATTAACTTCGTGCCAGTCGCTGCGACAAAACCCAATTTTAGGTAGTAGTAGCGGAGCGTAGTGAGATGGGCACTGCGCAGCGCGCCGTTGATCTTGGTCCGCCTAGATATATGAAAAGAAAATAAGTATAATACTTTAATGCGGACATCAGACATTTATATGTTTGAATATTTTATATTTAATGGTTTAGTCCAGGCACTTTTAAGTCATGCTACAAAAGTACGCTAATGCAAATAACCTGTAGCTAACGACATTTTATATTTAATAGTGATACTTTAACTTTAACACAAACTTTAACGTTAAAAGTATCACTTCTTTAGTACAACTTTTACTTATATAAGAAATAATGAGATTTAAAATTAATATCATCATCGTCAAAACTTAGTTATTTTTAAATTTATATAATGTTATATATTCCATGTATTTATTTAATTATTTATAAGTTTGAATATTGTAGGTTATATAAAATATTACATAAGATATTTTCCAAATAGTGTAAATTCCTATATACACCTGTGAAAGTTTCAAATTGCAGGAATGTGACGAATGAAAATAGCTACTACTCTACAACTACTGCATCCAAAAATAGCGCCGACAATTCCCAAGAGTCGTCACTTCCGAAAAATAGGTGTTGCTACTTTAAGCTTGTAAATCGTATCAATTACAGTTGTATTTTAAGAACAAGTAAATAATATATAAATATGATTTATTTAAAGTAACTAAACAATTATAACTACTTCTACAGCCTTTTTTGGACACTATATAGCAGATGCTGAAAAATATTATAATTTAAAAAATATGTATGCTACAAATTTTATACACAGCAGATAAAATGAACGCTCCTTGCAAATCGTCGATTTTCCTGTTTGCTGTTCTCCATTCGCCGCGAGTGCGTTAATTTTGTTAGAACTTGCGCTCTGTCCTAATTCTTATTATTTATTAATATTAGTTATTATTATTTTTTATTTAAGTATTTAAAGTTTTACTCGAATTGTTATTATTTCAATATTACTACATAAAACGACTAAGAAGTACTTTTGCGTTTAGACGGGAGCCATCTTGCAATCTCTAATCAAAGGTCCTTGGCTCACAGTTTCGTTGTCTGGTTGAAAGTCAGTTTATTCCATCATATTATAATCAAATGGCGTTAAAACGAATTAATAGGGTACGTACAGCTATATTTTATCTTTATTTCAAAGATTACTGTTAAAATAATAAAGTGCTATAAATTTTTAACATAGTTCGTAGTGAATGTTTCGTCATTGTGAATACCTATTAGGTATCGAAATTTCTTCTGGATAATTCTGAGTGTGTGATTTTTCTAAATTCTATTGTTACTGTAATTATATTTAGATTTCGTATCTTGAGTAAGAAAAAATGATTTTACTGGTTAACTTTGATGACAATTTTATGCACACGGCGAACATAAAATGTCGGAATTATGTGCCAATTTTGAGGTTTTCTTGTCATGTTTCCGAGACTTACCATGATTGAAGCTAAAAAGCTAAGTTCTTGTGTAGGAAATATTATTTCGGAATTTAAATTTCACTATTTTTAAAGTGTAATGCATTACAACGCTGATTTTGCAAGTGATGATGTGTTTGACTTATCTCGTATTGTGTTTCCTGCTTTGTATGTAGATGTTATTTCCGTTTCCAGGAATTACAAGACCTGGGCAGAGATCCACCAGCACAATGTTCGGCAGGACCACACGGGGAAGATCGTAAGTGTATTGATTTTTTATTTTATCACACCACTTTGTGACTCATTTACAAAGTAGGGACAAAACAGTAATCTTTCGAAAAGGATACTATTGCTTCATATCCATCTTTGTTCAAAGAGAAATATCGATTTTTTTAAGAAGGTAGAAATGGAAGGATAAATACAATCAGCTGTTTCTTTTGTACCCAAAGAAAAGCATTATTGTTTTATATCTTTCTGCTGAAACTGATTTGCCTATGTTTAAGTCAGATGAGTTTAAATATGTTATAAAAACCCTAAGAATGATATATGTATGTTTTATAATGTTATTATATTTTCTCTTTTTCAGTATTCCATTGGCAAGCCACAATTATGGGTCCAGTAAGTTTTTTTTTTATTAAATATAAATATTAAATGCATAACAATGCTGTTTATAAATCAATAAGTTATTGCCATTACTTCTTATGAGAACAAAAGTAAGGAAAGTGCTATTTTGTTTTTATTATAGTTCAATGTAAACTTGTATTTTCCAGGTCGACAGTCCTTACCAAGGAGGTGTCTTCTTCCTAACTATACATTTCCCTACAGACTACCCATTCAAACCACCTAAAGTTGCATTCACAACGCGTATTTACCATCCCAATATAAATAGTAACGGGTCAATCTGTCTTGACATTCTACGTGCACAATGGTCACCTGCACTTACCATATCCAAAGGTACCTGACTCCACCTTCTTAACAATTGTTATTTTTATAAATGTTTTATAATAACTCAACTTTTTTTGTTTTCCAGTGTTGCTTTCAATCTGCTCATTGTTATGCGATCCAAACCCTGATGATCCACTGGTGCCAGAAATTGCTAGGATCTACAAAACCGACAGAGAAAAGTACAATGAATTAGCCCGTGAGTGGACAAGGAAATATGCCATGTGATGAGTCAATTGTGACATTTGCAAACATATACACACACATCGCCACAGCCCGGGCTCTAACCCCTTTCTAAGTTCCCGCTCCCCACTCCCACTTAGTATAAAATCTCAATAAAATACCCAAAATTAATTAAAATTGTATAAAACACTATTGGTCATCTGTAGAGTTTGCAAGGTTTGTTGTCATCTCCAATAATTTTAATGTGCAACTCATCACATCAAAGTTAATTGTGTGCAAGAGGCGTTTTCTATGATGGCAAAATTGTTTTGTTAGCATCATCACTCATTTAGTTGAAGTTTTGATTATTAGTTAAATTTATATAACTTGAATTTATGTATTCCTAAAAGAATTTGTACTTTAACTAGAACTAAATTGCATTGTGAAACTGTACAATAGCATGTGTTTAGGATATGGAGCGTTCCTTGCTTGTCACTTATCTGGTTCACTTAAGATTTTGTCAATGTATTGTAAGCAAAGCTCATGATAAGAACATTCTGGTAATGTATGTAAATGGTACAACATAATGAGCTTCTCGACGGTGTTGAGTGAGTGGATTTTTTTTACTAGTAAAGCATCTCGTTTAAGTTAGTGAATGTAGCTCGCTACACAACAGACTGACATTGGCTGAGTGGTCAGTTTTCTTTCATCCACAATATCGTGAGTATCGACGAAAACGCTCCAATAGGGCCGAGATTCAGTATAAATTACAGTGTATCTCATAAGATAATAAGTTTAATCTAGACATTTTTTTTTTCAATATGGCGATCTTTATAATTATAATTTTATCTAATATATATTGTGGTTGTAAGGATACTTGCGTTGTGATTTCCTCTCCAAATTCTCCTTTCCACATTACCATCCTTTTAATCCATTTTAATATTAGCAGTATGGCAAACTGACTTAGCATGTTGGCACAAGTGGCAGGACATGTGTGTTACAGCTGCCAGGAGCAAACTCACTTGGCTAACACTGGGAGAGAGCAAAGTTAAAGCTTTTGAATTGTAATCAACAGACAAGATGTATTTTAGCTTCACTAAATTGTAAGAAAACAATAAATTATTGTGTATGTAAATAACCAATTGAGCTTTATTTAGGGGTTATTTCCTTGATTTGGGTGGTATGGCAGCCAGACTGTCTTATGATCTTAATACTTGTAAAGATCAGTTTTTTTTTTTCAAACAGTCTTAAAATTTAAAAATTTATCATTCAAGACTTATGAAAACTGAAACGTTAATTAATCCGAGGACTTTTTTTCTAAGACCTCAATATTGAGCTTTTGGTGGAAGTAATACATCTTTGTCTTTAGACAAATAATTTTAGTTTTTAAATATTCAAATCACTTAAACAGCTCTTTTACTCTAACATACCATTGTTGACTTAAATGGACTAATTTAACAATATTTCTTTTATGCGTGGCCAATCTAAACTACATAATAACTTAAGTCGTTCCTTTATTGTGTCATTTGTGTTCAACATAATTGTGTTATTCAACGTTCCATAAAACCTACCCAACAACAAAAGTATATTTTTGTCAGCTACTCGATTTGACCGTAAGTTGGTAGTAATACGAAAAAAAAACTAAATCAACCCCGATGATTAAATGATAAAAAGTATTAATCAAATTAAAATATATAATATCGATCTGAGCGGGTAATTGAAATGGATACGTTTCGGCGAAAATAGAAAATTTGGAACATTTTTCTAGGTTCAACAACAAAAGCTATTATTGGATCTGTGATTCCAGTAATGATAATGAGGATAGGTCATTGAGGATATGACTTAAAAGTGAAGACATTAAGATGTAGGAAATGGGATTCATGACCGTTAACCGTGATTCTGACGTCAGAGGTAAATACACTTTGAACCCACTGAGACTTATAGGGGATTATTAGATTCTGCACGTAATGACGCATTTTTATAAGACCCGCAGCAAGACACTAGAAGACTGCATCTTTAC